CTGGACTGGACTGGACTGGACTGGACTGGACTGGACTGGACTTGACTGGACTGGACTGGACTGTTCGAAACTGCACTGGACTGGACTGGACTGGAATGTGCTGAACTGGCGTGAACTGGACTGGACCGTACTGGAATGAACTGGACTGGACTAGAATGGACAGGCCTGGACTATACTGGACTGGACTTGGTTGGACTCTACTGGATTAGACTGGACTGGTCTGGATTGGACTTGGCTGGACTGCACTGGACTGGACTGGACAAAACTGAAATGGACGGCACTGGACTGGACTTGGTTGGACTCTACTGGATTAGACTGGACTGGTCTGGTTTGGACTTGGTTGGACTGCACTGGACTGGACTGGACAAAACTGAAATGGACGGCACTCGACTGGACTGGACTGGACAGTACCGGACTGGACTGGACTGGTCTGAACTGGACTGGAGTGCACGGCACAGGACTGGAATGGACTGAACTGGACTGCACTCGACTGGGCTGGACAGGACAGGAATGGACTGGACTGGATTGGAGTGGACGTAACTGTACTAAACTGCACTGGACTGGACTGGACGGGAGTGGACTTGACTGGACTGGACTGGACTGGACTGGACTTGACAGGAGTGGACTTGACTTTGCCAAACTGCACTGGACTGGACTGTACTGTACTGGACTGTACTGGACTGGACTGGACTGGACTGGGCTGGACTGGACAGGGTTGGACTCTACTGGATTGTACTGGACTGGACTGGATTGGACTTGGCTGGACTGCACTGGGCTGTACTGGATTGGACTGAACTGGACTGGAGTGGACGTGACTTTACTAAATTCCACTGGACATGACTGGACTGGAATGGACTGGACTGCACTGGATTGCACAGAATCGGACTGGAGAGGACTTGACTGTACTAAACTGCACTGGACTGGACTGGAATGGACTGTAGTGGACCGGCCTGGAATGGACTGCACTGGAAGGGGTTGGACTGTACTGGATTAGACTGGACTGGAGTGGACTGGACTGGACTGGCCGGGACCGGACAGGACCTGACTGGACTGGACTGGACTGGCCTGAACTGTACTGGCCTGGAGTGGACTGGCCGGATCGGATTGGACTGGACTGGACCGGACTCGACTGGAATGGAGTGAACTGGACTGGACTGGACTGTACTGGATTGCACTCTACTTGACTTGACTCGACT